GGCTCAATTAGGAAATTATCTAAGCTAGAATGCCAACTAGAAATCTAGGATCTGATAATATCAGAATCCTGATTAAAAACCTTTCTGATGATGAAATTTGACGAGTACCCTGAGATGATCACTAAATTGGTGGATAATGACGAGAATGCTGATTACTATTCCTCTCCACCCCTCCCCCTCCTCCATGTGCTCTCCTCCTCTCCCCTCGTTTCCTGTTCTCCTCTTCTCCTCTCGCTGCCTCCGATGATCTGAACCCCACTATCAGTATGAAGTTCCTATCAGCCCCAACAAGAGAGATATCCTCCCCATTCCCTTCTGCTTTGAAGTAACTAGTTCCCCCAAAAGGTGTACCTCAAATCTGACACTCTGACCTAGTCTGCCTCCGCCAGGATATAATGTGCCCCCATACATATCTCCCGGCCCCAGCCCAGGTCAGCTCCCATCATTTGTGTCTACTCTCTAGAGCGCAATCACCTCCCACCTTGTGTTACCCCTGCGAAGTAGCGCTTCCTTCCCGACCAACCTACCTGCCAACTAGACCATAACCAATCTGGCGAAGAGAATATAACCACCAACACAAAGATATCTACTGATTGATGAAAAAAGGAATAAAGAAACTTCGATGATGATGATGATGATAATGATGATGATGATGATGAAATAAAATTGGCGAGAAATAAATAAGGAGCGTTTGAACTTGCGATACCCTAATAGCACCGGTGTAGAAGATTGACAACACTATTGCTGTAATAATAAAAGAAGATGACAATGATTAGTAGGAAGATAATGGCCAGTGAAGATGATGACCCATTGACCCGTAATGAAGAATTATGAATTGATACACTTTAGTATGAACGACTCCGGATGATGATTCCCCGCAGAGATGACAATGATGATAATCTTGATGCTCTTGATGGATAACCTGCACAAGATTAACAATAAAAAAAACAAAAATGAGCAGCTCCCTTGATGACGACTCCTTGATGATCTTCCTTCTGAGAATGCGGGCCAGCGCTGTGATGACGTAGACAAGCGAAGTCCAACGCACTTCGGTCTCCATGGGGCAAACTCCACTTTCTTCCACCGACATTGGCATTGCACCAACTCGCTTGAGCATTACAGCCTCCTAAAGGGGCGTTAGTTGTGGAGTACTTCGTGTGGAAGTCACAGAGAGACTGTTCGAGCAGCCGCTACCGCCACTACTCTCCCCTCGCCACTATGACTTAGACCAGATGCCTCGTCAGCCCGTGACGTGGCTTGGCCTAGTGCCTCTGGTTTCCGCGCGTGCATTAAGCGCTCACTCTTACCACTTCACCACTTCTGCCGTATACCACTCATGCAGCTTTTGGGTGCTCATGCCACATCAGCGTTCGCATCTCCCACAAGCAGCCAGCAACTCGCCGTGTGCAAGCCACCAGCGCCTCACCACATGTGAAAAGCCAGCGCCCCGCTACTCGCTTGTGACCAGCGCCTCGCCACCCGTAGGAAGCCAGCGCCTCGTCGCCTGCTAGCAGCCAGCGCCTCGTCGCCTGCTAGCAGCCAGCGCCTCGCCGTCCATCCGTGGCCAGCGCCTCGCCACTTCCACGCCGCCTTTGCCTCGCCACTTGCTTGCTGCCATAGCAGCATCGTAGGCGCACGCACCCATGCAGCGCTAGCAACATCGTAGGCGCACGCACCCATGCGGCGCTAAGTCACGCCGGACCATTACGGACCAGACCGAAATAACAGGCACAAAGGGTCTGCTGGTCCTCCACAGCTAACGCCCCTTTAGGAGGCTGTAATGCTCAAGCGAGTTGGTGCAATGCCAATGTCGGTGGAAGAAAGTGGAGTTCGCCCCATGGAGGCCGAAGTGCGTTGGACTTCGCTTGTCTACGTCATCACAGCGCTGACCCGCATTCTCAGGAGGAAGATCATCAAGGAGTCATCATCAAGGGAGCTGCTCATTTTTGTTTTTTTTATTGTTTATCTTGTGCAGGTTATCCATCAAGAGCATCAAGATTATTATCATTGTCATCTCTGCGGGGACTCATCATCCGAAGTCGTTCATACTAAAGTGTATCAATTCATAATTCTTCATTACGGTTCAATGGGTCATCATCTTCACTGGCCATTATCTTCCTACTAATCACTGTCATCTTCTTTTATTTTTACAGCAATAGTGTTGTCAATCTTCCACACCGGTGCCATTAGGGTATCGCAAGTTCAAACGTTCCTTATTTATTTCTCACCAATTTTATTTCATCATCATCATCATCATCATCATTATCATCATCATCATCATCATCATCATCATCATCATCATCAAAGTTTCTTTATTCCTTTTTCCATCAATCAGTAGACATCTTTGTGTTGGTATTTATATTTCACTCAGCATCTACGAACTGCAAGTTGCTACTTTGTTTTTCAGCATCGATGGGGGATCTGACATTGCACTTAGGTGTTGAAGTCAGACCCTCCTAGGAGATAGGACACTAGTGTAGGGGTAGCGTTAGAGGGGTCAGAAGGATCACATGAGAGGGGGGTGAGTTCTAGTCATCTCAAAGCTCAAGGCCACTCAGATAAGTGTCGTGCACCTACGAGATGCCCATGTGTGTGTGCATGGTATGGTTTGTCCTGCGGGGGTTACTCTGGGTTTCTTTTCCTACTCCTCTGTGGTCTTGATTGTGTGATTGAATGCATGTGATCTACCGACTCACCTGATGGATGGAAAATGAAGTATCTTGATGTAAATGCCGAGTCTTTCTACAGTACTTTGTCTTTCATCTCTGAACGGATGTACTCTGAAGGTTCTGCCGGAAGTTGAAATTTCGTTTTTCAGTACAGTAGCAACTGAACTAAGTCCATGAGGGACTCCTTTTGGTTGGGATCTGGTCGCGACCTACGTGGGACCTTTGGAACCCAGTGGGACCGGGCCCAAACAAGAAGAGCCCTTTGGGCCCAAATCGGTTAGGCATTAGCCCATTGTCTTCTGACTGTCACGGAGTTCTTTCTTCTTGGTTAGGACACCCACTGCCGAGGGGATCTTGGCTGAGACGTTTCGCATGTCTTTTGGTTGCACTGTCCGTGGCTTGACTCGCACCCTGTACACCACTCGATTCTCCATTGTTGCATTTAGTCACTCGTTGTCTGATTTGTTGTACGGTCGCGGAGCTGGTCAGACTGGACTCGAGAGGACCTCGTATGCAGTCTGATCAGACAGGGTCGCTAGATCAGACCTTTCGTTTGAACTTGTTTGTTTTTTTATTTGGTTTGCTGCTCTCTACGTCCAAATGAAATGTCGCTCCAGCTAGGAGTTCTACCTTCTCTTCTCTGAGCTTTCAAGTCTACTTTTTGAGAGTTCATTTCCGATGCCCGTGGAGACCCGCCGTCGGAAAGAAGAGAGAAAGAGGGGAGGGAGAGAGAGAAGGAATAGAGGGAAAGTGACCGTCTGGAGTGGGCAAGGACTGGGTAAAGGAGTGTTCGTCCAAGTGAGAAGAAGAGTGAACCTCTTGAAAGTCTAATTGATTTTTTTGCTGATTGGCGACTCTCTGACCCACCTGTCAATACTAACGGTCCAAAAATGGCTCAGCTAACTTCAATGCAATGGCGGATCTTGTTAGATACAGCCAGTGTGGCGGAAAAACCGTATCTACAAGCACTCCTAGATAGTGCAACCAAAAGGGAACAGGAGGCAGAGAAGGAGAGGACGGACTCATTGCTGAAAAGTCAGGTGGCCTTCCTAGAGACTCTTCCCTCACTGACTGAGTAACAGTGTGGGGAACAGTTTCAGTCTATACTCACCACCCTTGTTCAAGTCAGGAACCTTGAAGATCATATCACTCAGATCGTTGAAGTCTTCGCAAAGTTGCGAACACTTCAAAATGATCTGACTGATATGACCCGCAAGTACCACGAATTGACAAAGGAGGTGGCTGAGCTGCGACAAGCCCAAGTGGCCAGCCCTCTTCCTCTACCCCCTGGATCTGAAGCTGCAATTCAAACTACCTCGGCCTCTCTTACTGTATCTTCTTCCTTGAATGTGATGGCAACCTCCTCGGGACCTGCAACAGGTACAAATTTTGTTGTTGTTGTGACAAGCAACGAGGCTGGAAATTCTGCAATTGATGCAGCCCCAAGATTGGAACCACCAGTTGCTGGTCCAAGCCACGTTGGTCCCTATGTGGACCGAAAGGCGGTTCAAATACCGTCTAAGTACGACGACAAAGAAGACATCGAATCATGGATCAGCTCCATGAGGGCATACTTCGAGGTTTTGGGGACTCAACCTGAGACCCAGTCCGTGATCATGGGAATGCATATCGAGCCGGTCGTGCGGGGCTTCTTAGAGGTCCAAGCTACGCGAGTTGGGATTCCCAAAATAGAACTAACAAGGTGGCTTAAGACCACCCCGGTTCCCTCCCTCGAGGAACTCCTCATTTCACAATACCTGGATCCACACGTTGCAGCAAGGGCAAGAATCCATCTTGACAAAATCAAGCACAGCAAGTGGACGGGCTGCATGAAAAGTTGGCAGACCTACCTTAGCAAGATATTCGCTACACCCAGATTGGAATTGACTGCTCAATCTTGCTTGGATGTGGTCAAAGGCGCGGTTCCCACCAGCTTTACTAATCGCCTAGGCAGGGACTTCATTCGTTACACTGTCTGGTTCACCTTAATGAAGGACATAGTCAGTCTTGAGGTTGTAGACCTTGTCACTACAACAGGCAGCAAAAAGCCCATGGGCGACAGGCGGTTCAAAGACAGCAAGCGTTCTGCTGTGCATGACCTGCTGGAGGTTGAAGAAGAAACCGATGCAGGGAACCCCACTCTTGGTGACGACCAAGAACAGGACCCTGATACAGCTTGTTCTTCGACCCATGAGTCCGAGTTGGTTTAAGGTGTTCTTCCTCCAAAGAGCCGTGTATACCGAATGGGACCTGGCGAGTTGGAGGAACTCCGACGACAGATTGATGAGATGATTGACAAGGCGTGGATCAAGCCTAGCGAATCTGAATTTGGTGCTCCTGTGTTGTTTGTTCCAAAGAAAGGAGGCAAACTCTGCATATGTATTGACTATCGCGGTCTAAACCGCATCACAAGAGAGAATGCCTATCCATTGCCTCGTACAGATGACTTGCTTGATGTCGCAGGGGGGTGCAAGGTCTTCTCCAAGATCGATCTCAAGTCTGGCTACCACCCGATTGAAGTCGATCCTACGGACCAGCACAAGACTGCATTCAAAATGCGTGATGGGCTTTACGAGTTTACCGTAATGTCTTTTGGTCTCACGAACGCACCAGCCACCTTCCAAAGCCTCATGGACAAGGTACTCCGCGAACAGATTGGCCGGTTCACTGGTGGTATACCTCGATGATATCTTAATCTTCAGCATGTCCATGGAGGAAAACCTCAAGCACCTTGAGAAGTGCTCACTATACTCAAGAAGACGCAACTTCATCTCAACCTAGAAAAATCTGAGTTTGGGAAGGATAGCGTCATCTATCTTGGACATCGGTTGTCTGTCGCAGGCCTGAAGCCTGAGGCAACCAAGGTTGAGGTCATAGCAATTGGCCTCAACCCGTCAACATTCACAAACTGTGTTCTTTTCTTGGCCTCGCATCATACTATCGGAAGTTTGTGCCCCGCTTCTCTCTTATTGCTCGTCCATTGTCACGGGTGACCAGTAAAAATATTCCCTTTTCTTGGGACGCCGCGTGCACGAAGCCTTGGTAAGTTACCTTGTACTCCACATTGCAGATCCCAAACTAACATTCGTAGTTACTACGGATGCGAGCCATTATGGAATCGGCGCAGTGCTGCAGCAAGACGACGGCGATGGCTTGCGGTCGCTCGAGTACTACAGCAAACGCATGTCCAGCTTAAAGGTAGCCACTTCCACCTACATGCGCGAGCTCTATGCTTTGCGTATGGCGTTGGACCACTGGAAACACTATCTTTTGGGACGCCACTTCAAAGTTTTCTCAGATCATGAGACTCTGAAGTGGATCAAATAGCAAACTACCTTGTCCCCTACCTTGCTTCGCTGGTTTCATGAAATTGGCATTTTCGATTTCGAGTTAAGACACAAAAAGGGTTGTTATAACCGAGTAGTTGATACTTTGTCTCGCCACCCAGAGTACATGACTTGTCTTGTCAAATTCTACGACCTCCGGAAGAAACTGAACTTGAAGGAGGAGCTCGTAGACCACACCGCCCAGGATCCGGAGCTTAGCCCTATCCTTGAGCAGCTACTGGCTGACCCTAGCAGTCAGTCTGATTTTCACGAGTATAGAGGACTGATTTTTCGTCGCTACGAGAACCACGACCGTTTGTGTGTGTCCAACCATGAGCCTCTCCGCACGCACTTTTTGGATTTGGCTCATGGTCGGAGCGGACACTTCGGCATGGCAAAGACGTATGCAAATTTGCTGAGACAGTTTGATTGGCCTGGCATGAAAGGGACTGCTGAAAAGTTTGTGGTCGAATGTCAAGGCTGTCAACGAATCAAACCATGCAGACAACAGCCCATGGGGCTACTCACACCCCTACCCATTCCCGAAGGTCCCGGGGAGTCTGTCTCCATCGACTTCACCGACATGGGAAAGGTAAGTAAGAACGGCTACTCACAAGTCATGGTGACTATTGACCGATTCTCTAAGTTCCTTAATCTGATCCCTTTGCCGCCTCATGCCCCAACAAAATTAGTGATTCGTCAGTTCCAACAGAAGTACATTCTGCAGTTCGGAACCCCGAAGACTCTCGTAAGCGATCGGGACCCGGGCTTCATTAGTACTGAATGGAAGGACTTCACGTCTCATCTAAGGATCAGGTTGTGTATGACATCTGGCCGACACCCTGAAGCCAACGGTTTGGCTGAAGAAATCAACCAGACTGTGTTCCAACTTCTCCGCGCTTTGATTATCCCGGATCAGGAAACATGGGATGAAGAGTTGTATTCCATTAGGGGGTTGTACAACAACTCCATCCATTATGCCACTGGCATGACACCTAACAGGCTGCATCTCAGTTGGCAGATCTGTAATCCGCTCTCCTACCTATTCCCTAAACAGCCAGCTGGCTTAACACCCGGCAGGCCTGGCTTCAGGGCCAGGTATGATCGCTTGCTCAAAGTTTCCATTGCAGCTATGACCAAGCGACAACACGCCATGATTTATCGTGCGAACAAGAAGCGCCGACCGTCGGATATTCAGGTAGGAAGCTATATCTGAGTCAAGATGTCTGAATTCTCAAACGAAGAGGGAGTCTCACGCAAACTTCTCCCACTCTATTATGGGCCCTGGGAAGTTTTGGATGTGATTGGTGAAGATCACTTTGGCCCTTCGCACGTCGTTGATGTGCCAGCCCATCTGCGCACATACCCCATGTTCCACGCATCGAAACTGTACCTCCACCGTGATGCTAAGGCATTTGATTATTGCGAAGATATGATCCCTTGCGCGATCAAAGGCGGGCATGAGATAGACCGAATTAAACAACACGTAGGGAAGGGACGCAACAGGCAGTACCAGGTTCACTTTATGTATCATCCGTTAGAAGGTATGTATTGGATTTCCAAGCAAGAACTGCTACGCAGCGCATCACGAGTTGTTAAAGCCTACGAGCGACAAATCGCCACTAACGCTACGCCTAAGATCTCTGCAAGGCTCACGGCGACAGAGTATTCTAGGAATCTCTTTGCCTTGCTTGCCTACAATGAGTTTGTCCAGGACTCAGAATGAGTTACTCGCTCGAACGGACCTCGCTCTTGAGGGGGGAGTAGTGTGATGACCCGTCCAAACATGGACTGAAACAGACAGATTTCTGAGTTTTGCTCATAGACTGAATGCCTTGCTGAGTTTCCCGCCTGCTACTAAGTCTGTGTGTGCACGCTTGCTGGACTGCATGTCTGTCTGAGTGCTGGTTGGCTTGAGCGTGTGTGTGACCATGCCTGTCCGAGTGTTGGTTGGCTTGGGTGTGTGTGTGACCGTGCCTGTCTGAGTGCTGGTTGGCATGAGTATGTGTGTGGCCCGTCAGGGCACTTGCTCGTCCGTTGGGCCCTCAGGGCCGGTACTGTGGCCGTGACATTGAGGGGTTGCAGCGGGGAAAAACACTCAAGTAGCGGGTAGGCCGGTACCGCACCCTGAAGATATAGAAAGAGGAATGGTAATAGCTCAACCAGGTACAATTGAACCACATACTCGTTTTGAAGCACAAGTTTATATACTTCGCAAAGAAGAAGGAGGTCGTATTTTTAGAGGCCCAGTAGTTGTAGGTTAGGTCTAGGCAGATATCAGTCCAACCAGTCTGGGTCTAGGGCCTGTACGGGCAATATCAGAGTCTGCAATGAGGAGGTACCGGTTGCTTGGAAGGCCGAGCGGCCTGGAAGTCACGCCCAAGAGGCAAAGCAGGTCGCTATATCTTCCGGCCGGGCGGAGAGTCCGCCCTCTTTTTCGGCGTGCAAGTTTGGCAACACACTGGTGGAGCGCTGGCTGGAGCAGCGCTATGCTGGAGCAGCGCTGCTGGGAGGAAGGAGAAGGACACGAGGGAGGAAGAAGGAAGGAAGGGGGAGGAGCACCAGGGGTACTTACATGGCTATGGTGGCAGCCATCTTCATCACCTTGGTGGGCGCTGCRGYAGGGAGTCCCCAACTGGGGAGAGCTACACCAAGAAGCTTCGAGGCAGGGTCAGGCATGGCGGCCTGAGCTAGAGMAGCCATAGCTGCTTTGGGWTGYCCTTTGGGCATCTGAGCAGAGCCTAGTAGTCCGCCATAGCCTCGGCCTATGAGAGTGAAGAGTGGGAGAGGCGGCCATGGCAATGGGGGACCTCAAGTGATACCTGCACTAGAAGAGGAACTCGGACATTGATTCTGGATCAGCCATTCAACATTGTATTATTACTTCTTGTATGAATAAGAGAACGGGGAGATACGGAGGAGGAGATTGTTGGGCAAAGGAGAAGAGCCTGGACATTTGTCTATGCCGGTGTACATCATCTTCTTCTTCTTTCTTACTTCTTCTTCTTTCTTACTTCTTCTTCTTCTTCTAATCCTCTTGCTCCTCTCAGGTTCATTCATTTCTTTCTGCAATTGGGTGGCATTGTACTATCTGATGGATGTGTATCTCGAAATTGGCCAGGATCATAACACACACACACACGCTTGAACACACACACACACACACACACACACACACACACACACACACGCTTGAACACACACACACACACACACACACACACACACACACACACACACACACACACACGCGCGCGCATGGTCTCTCACTCATGCGTGAGCGCGCGTGCGGAGAGAAAGACAGACAGACAGAGGGACCGTGCGCGGTCCCTCGAACAGCAGTGCGCTATTGCGCGTGTTTTTTTTTTTTCTTTCAATCAATCAATCAATCAATCAAATCTTTTTTTTTTTCTTTTTTTTTTCACTCATTTTTATGTTTCTCTCTTTTTTTTTAAATCAGAACGAACCAAAAAAAAACAAAAAAAAAAAACGTGGTAGTGTGAGTGTGCCCTGATTTTCAGAAAAAAGGAAAACGAAACTTGGATTGCTTTTCTTTAGTAGGATAATCGAACGAAAATCTATCCTCCGGAATACAACGCCCCCTACCCTAGGCCTCTTCCGTTGAGCTAGCTACCTTTCTGGAAGCGGGGTAGCTATCATTTCCTCCTCGTGGGAGGACACTGTGACAGACAAGGGAGGGCACTCTGACAGACGTGGGAGGACAATCTCACAGAGGTAGGAGGACACTTCGATAGACTTGGAGAGGCACTCGTTTCTTATATTTGGGTGGTCAATGCACATAGCCAGGACACCGTCCACGGCAGTTCCACGCTATAGTTAGGTCCTGTCTCCTTCTTCAAGCAGTGCACGGAGACTTAGGAGAGTTTCACTCGAGGAGATTCATCTTCTCTTTTTTCATTTTCTAAAAAATATGAACAAAAGCAGATTGCCCCACTTTCTTTCTCCATTTTACAATTGAGAAAATTTAATATGGAAAAAAGCCTTCAGCAGCATTTGATTCTCTTTTTTTGAAATCGTTTTGAATTTTTAATTTGCAATAACTGTGTCACACCGTTGAGCTAGCTCAACTCAAAGGTGTATGTGGGACATGGCCCCCGATCAGATATTAAACTGATCAGAACAGATACCACACTTGATCTTAGCAAAAAGGCCGAGAAAGCTATAAATAAACAATTTCAATGTTCAGGGACGCCGGACCCGCTTTCCATCAGGTGGTGGTCCCCACCAATAGATGGAGCCTCCCGGAGAGTGCTAGAGGTGTCGGATCTTATCAGCACCCCTAGCATCACCATGGGTTGTTTAAAAAGGAAAAAGAAAAGAAAAAGAAAAGAAAAATTATAGTCTCCAAAACGACACACACACACACACACACACACACGACAG